ACATTAAGATCTTTCTCAAGGGAGATCTGGCCAAAATGGCAGCCATAAAAATATTAAAATTCAGCACATACCACACAATATACAAAAAATCCATTCACAAGGTAAAAACAACAGACTCTCAAGAAAAACAGCTACATCTCCTTCTCCACATTCTTTACAATGTTCCTAAATTAAATAGATAGAAATGTGTCTAACTCTAGATCTGTCTGCAAGTCACCCAGTATCACTTTATAGATAAAAATATACCAGTACTGTTGTCTGTGAGGGGTCTGTGATGTTCATCCCACTACATCATAAAGAACACAGTGGTGAGTAAGAGACCTTGGGGTTGTAGTGGCATACAAGGGTGCAAGGTACACTGAATTTTCAAGCAGATGTATTTTCTTCATAAAGAAAGTTTTGTTGACATCACTGAAGAACACAGCTACTACCCCATATATACGTATATGTTTCTTGCTACTGTATGTTTGCTTGAATCTCTATTGTCTAGGAGCAACTTCCTGTATATGTATTGGTTAATTATTGCCCAACACCAAAGGCATTATATCACCTGATCAACAGCTTTTCACAGATGAAGCTTCATGAGTAATTGTGCATTGTGCATGAATATATATTAGTGTGCTAAAATGTTTTCTAAAATGGGTTGTATTTATATTTAAATAATGACAAATCATAAAATATTTATTTTCAACTGAAGCTTTTTGTAATTACAGTATTTAAATTCTCAGCTAGTCAGTGGGACTAATTGTTATTTTGTCATAGTTGCTCAGTGTTTGTGCACCTTTGATAATATAGTAAATAATCAACAATGGCTCATAGTAAGAGGATGGTGAGACATTGTCTGTAATCACAACCAGTTTATTGAATTGGTTTACCACAAAACACATTATAATCCCTGCACAACAGTAGCAATTAGATGTAAGAAGACAGGGATAAAATAAACAATTATATGACTCTATGGGCATGCATGTACAGTTATACTTTGAGGTCTGACTTTCATTGTCTCCTCTTACAATGGCAACAGGATAGGTGCTGATCTATGTGTGGTTACTGTAAGTGTGAATCTTTCTAGCTTTCACATTGTAGACTAATGTAGAATTAAGATTTCATTTGTATTGACCCATGTATGCTTGTAAGGGAAAGAGACAGCGATAGTGAGGTTTACTTCCATTAGTATTGAGCTGGACGCTCAAGTGCACAAACACCATGAAAAAACACTTACTCACATTCAGGTGAATTAAAAGAATGACTGCAGCATTTTAGCATTACACAGCATGCAGCAGAAAATGACAAAGTCAGAGGAACAGAGGCGATAATACAATATTTGCATTAATACCCCTGTCAAAAAGGCATGAAATAACACTTACAAAACTGTTACAAAATTTTGGACAGCCCATTTGTTATGCAAGTGTGTGTCAAAGCCTTCATGTGTAGCTTGTGCAGTGTATGAAAGAATCCTTATACAGCAGCCCAACAGGCAAACTGTCACAAGGTGTTCCAACCATGATGACAATAAAAGTTAGGAACTAACCAGAGCCATCGGGGATTGACCGAACAAATGTTGGCAGCATCTTCAGTGTAGCGGTGGTGTTAGTTTCCTGGCACAATCCTGAGACCAGCTCCCTCCGAAACCGTTGCATGATGTCCAGTAATGTCTCATCAGAGAAACGCATGGAGTACAGATACTTGTCAATCTGAAATTAAACATAAGTGTTAATCTTTTTAATTTTGTCCATTAAGACCCCCCACACACATGTAACCTACACAACACTGTCCTCTGAGAGCGGCTAATTCACTATCAGTTTATAACTGAGTGTAAACACAGTGGTGCAGTGAATATGACTAACTCCATACTTCATAATGTGTTTAATCATCCATGATGATGATCCACATCCTGACTGAGATAAAAACTAATCTGACGTGCTTAACCAAGAAATGAATCAGAGACAATACACCCTGAAGGGAAGTATTTGATTGCATACTGTGCTTACTATCATACTGTACAGCCAAAGTCTAAAGGATAGCACAGCCTCATCACTGTGACACACAACCAGGAAGTACAGGATGCATCACACTCACACACTCCTGTTACCAAGGCAAAATTACACAGAAGCAGAGGTGGAAAATAACTAAGTACATTTACTCAAGTACTACACTTAAGTGAAAATTGGAGATATCTGTACTTTACTTTCATTATTTCACATTCAGTATTTTCATTCTCTGCTACTTCAGACTTTGACTTCACTACATTTCAGAGAAAAATACTGTACTTTGTAATCACTACATTTGGTAACTTTAGTTACTAGTTACTTTTCAGAATGAGGTTAATAAAGCAAAATACAGTATAAACAAATTCTATTGCTCCTTGCTTGGTGCAAAATTCACAAGCTACCCAACAGTAATTCAAATTATATGCATCTAAAGTAGTTAAAATTAGCTTTACATTTACCAACTGTAACATTAAATAATACATGAGTAATATAATATCAATGTACACTGCTATTTTATGAGTACTTTTACTTTTGGTATTGTTACTTTTACTTAAGTAAACAATCTGAGTACTTCTACCAGCACTACACAGAAGGGCGCTCCTCGTGTGTTTATTACGGGTATGGCAATGACGAGGCTAGGAGATTTACCTAGAATCAGTTACGGAAAACAAGAGGGGTCATAACTGACTCTACTCAGTAATAGTACCAAACTCATAATGAACAACTGGGAGTGCCTTGGAGCGATCAGCGTGTCTGGAAATCATAAACGTTGACCAGTCAAATACTGCCCATTGTGTAAACTGTTGCAGACATAGCAGATAGCGTGCGTTGCCTTGCCTTTCAAGGACAGGATGTGACAGTTCTGCTGAAATTCATTGCATCAGACTGTGTCATGTGTCAGACTTGCTTTGTAATGGACTGTGAGACGAACCAAGAGCAGAGTACTACTCACATAATTCTAATGAAATGTCTCATTGCTCTGTAAAACTGAGCAGGGTTAACTCTTCTAGTTGTGAGTTAGGACCCACAACCACTTTATCATCAGCCTGTTTCATAACAAAAACTCCAAAAATATGAGATACACATTAAATACTGACAGGGTCTGCCTAGGTCAAGTAAACACACATGATTCAATATTACCCCAAAAATGCTTGTGATAGCAACTATGGTCCTGTGTGATAATTTACTAGTATTACTCATTGTCAGGTCTCAGGTTGGGACAGGACTCAAAATGCAGAACTAGTTCTTAGTATATTTTAATGGAGAATACTGGAAAAACTAAAGGGGCTCAACCAGACAAGCTTAACATAAAATATCAACAAGGCTACAACTCAGACAGTTCCGTCTGGGGGAGAGGTAAATGAACTCAAAAGCACAAAACTCAAACAAACCCACAGAGTAAAACTGAGAATCCAACACAGCAGGTGAGCCCAAAGTGCAAATGGAAATGGTCCAAAAGTTGCCAGGGCAGAACCCAAAACAGCACACATAAACCAAATTACAGGAAGAGGCATGGTGTGGCGAGAGTATGAACCAGCATCTAACTTAGGGGGAGTGAGGAGAATATAAAGGTTAGAGACTCGGGGATAACAAGTGACAGGTGAAAGCAATTAGTAATCAAGAACCGGAGTCAAGGTGAGGCAGGTTAGATGGCAAAAACAGGAAACTCATGCAAAATAAAAGTACAAAACAGGAAGACATTCCAAAACTTTAACAGTAACAAGCATCAGAGAGGAATGTTGTAACCTCCCATTAAAGGGAGTCACACATTTACAGTGTTTCGTGCATAGTTCTTGTAACTGGTCCAGGAGAATGCCCATTAGTGTCCTTACAGGAAGGAATTTGCATTACAAATTAATTTTAATTAGTAGAGAAAATGTGTGACACTAAAGGATAAGTCCAGTGTTTTTGACATAAAGGTTAGCAGACATTTACTTTCATGTATATACAAACACATTTATATTTTGTTACTAGATAGTAAAAAAGTATGCAGAAGTGAAACAGTAAAGGCAAAAAAGTATAAAGGGTGAAACAAAGTACAATAACCAGACTCAAGGGAGTAAACAGGGTGTGTGTGATTTTGGCTACTGTGAGTGGTTGTCTGGGTGTTAACAGGTGGATTTGGCAGGCAACATGGAGCTCATGAAAGCATGAGCACACGCTGTGAGCCAACAAGCATGAGAACAGCACCATTTAGATGTTAATAACTCTGTTAATTGTGTCACATTCCCTCTGTTCTGCCTAATAAATGTGGGGTGACTGCTAATTAGCACATGCTCTGACCAAACAGGAGCCCACAGCTGAGTAAACGAAACCCCTCACCTTCACAAGTTCAGTACAATACATTAGTACTGCGAAACCAAAGGACTGGCACAAACGGGCCTGCTGCCCGCCTGGGACCGTGTTTTACTCTGTGGTTTGAAGAGACATTTTAACACCAGCAACATGTTGGTGCTTGATACCACCCTCCCCTCATGATCCCACTGTGAGCTCAGCAATCTCTTATTTTAGTTATACCATTAACTTGTGCACACATACAGTACAGTATAACCACACAGCTCCACTCTGCTTCTTTTGCTACAGCCAAATACTACACTATCTGTCACAATGACGGCACAATGAAAGGGCATACTGTATACCATTTACATGCAAAATATACAGATATGCAGGTTGTTATTTCTCATCAGCTTGTGAGAAAGCAAACCCACAAAGGCAGAACACAGTATGCTGACATCTTGCTGATTTATACTGACACTGAGCCCTTATTGTACGACATGACAACAGCTTAAAACAAATACAGTTTGTTGCTGTTGCATTTGTACTTTTGCTAGTGTTCTGTTTGACCCAGTTCACCACAAAAATCTATAGTATCCACCAACAATACAGTGAATGCAAGGTGAAAATTATTTCATTTCATGGCTGAACAAGTTAAAAAGCCACAGGGAAAAACAACTTCAAACTTTGCATGGCTGTGTACTGACACATTTGCACTTGTCTTTAAACCACACCTTGTTACAGTTCTATTTATTTATACTCATGACACTCACAGTGGAACAAATAAATTCTTGTAATGTGAAATGGTTGTTAGCCCTGGTGATTCCACTAAAAATCAACGGTCAATCTGCAGTCCTGTGCGGTTTGTAGCTTGTGGTTTTGTTTCACTGGTCCTTGTGGTTGAGCTGAGTGCATCCACCTCTTTCCACTTCCTGACTTTGCATTAAATAACAGAAGCTTCTGAGAAATCAGCTGAGATCTTACGTCAGCTAGAGACCATCATTCAACACCCTAAACTAATGTTAATGTAGGAAAGCAACCTTCACAGGACAAACCTTGCTAGTATTTTGGTAAATAGTCACTGAAAGACAAAATTGCACTTTTTAAAATTAATGAAACTAGCATTTGCCAACTTCAGTTCTTCAGTTGCAGGACTATTTGTATCTTACCTTCCATCCCGCATGATGTTAATGAGTCATAAAGCAAAGGCTATGATGCTAGCCATAAAATGTAATAATGTAATACAGGATGATTTAGAGTCTGGTTTGTACTATACTGTAGCCTTACTGTGTGAATCCTGAGACAGGTTTAAGCAGGTCATTTGCACAATTCTAGCTGTCGGCTAGGTGTAAATAGATCTATTCATATGCTTCAGCACAGTGATCTCTTCCAGCTGTCACACACTGCTGCTGCTCCTTCCTACTTACTGCTCTTAATGATTATATTCCTCCTTTCACCACCCAGCCTCTTCCTGTTTTGTTTTCTTATTTTTATTATTCCTTACTAATGATGGAAGCTGTAATGCCAAATAAGGCATAATAGTATAACCATTCATACATACTGGTTCACCTTATTGCATGAGTGCTTCTGACTGCGTTCCCAGATCTGAGTCTCTGGATTCTCATTTAAATGCCTTGTATAAAATAACAATGTGTTCCTAATCAGCTAATTGAATGAGAGTGCATTCTTAGCCAGGCTATTTAAATAACAATATGCCCCTAGGTGACCAGATAGGTACTGGGAGCAGAAGGGGAGGATTAAAGGCAGGCATTGTCCACATTTCTCCACAAATCCACAAACTAAAAGTTAAAGTTCATGCTACAGGAAGGAAATTGGCATCACTGTACTATGACCCAGCACTCTGCAGCTAGAAACCATGCCTAAGCACTTAATTACAGTTCAGATATACACTTACCGGCCACTTTATCATTATTTCTTATTATGAATGTATAAACTCAATTATATGTTTATTATCGGGGTTGTAGTTAAGGGTAGTGTTGTACTGGACAACATTATATTTAGAGGTATCTATATTTTTGTCCCCCCCAGCTACATACATGAGAGGGTAAGAATATTAGGAACACCTCTGAATATAATGTAGTCCAGGAAACATTTATACATTTATGACAATTTCACCAAAAACTGAAACATATTGAGCTTCAAAAACACAGATGTTAAGGCGGAAGTGTTGCACTGAAGTGCATACCATTGCACAGGTATACCTAATAAAGGGGCTGGTGAGTGTATATCTCTGCTGTGGGCTTTATACCTCACAGAGATATGTTAAATTATTTGGACAACAGCTAAGATTTATCCTCATCTTTCACAAGAATTTTTCTCAGCTTTTACTAAAAAGGAGTTTCCATTTTTTCTCGCTAATTTCAACCTCTGTCCAGGTGACACAAGGCCTCAGTGGTCTGCATCATTGACTCTGTGAATGCCATGTATTCCCCTCAGTGCAACTTTCTGTGACGCAACTTAGAGCTTGGTTTAAGTTTCAGGGAAAGGTCACACCGTCTGCATATCCACCCCTCTCCTTCCTGCTTGCATTCCTCCACTCAGAGTCCTGTTTCGTCGTCACTGAGGTAGTGCAGGGAAACACTGAAACCTGACTCCACTGTGTGCCTGATGCTGTGCATGAACAACCTTGCTGTGTGGAAAAATACTGTACTCTACAGCGCTCTCTCCTGCACCTACCCTTCTTCCCCCTTATGCACATTGCTTTGGGTGCCCGCTAACAGTCCACACTTTACCAGGAAGCACAGTCAAGGACACTGCAGGTGACAGTGAAGTGGATACACACCCAACTGACTGAAGTTCTTTGACAATGGCAGGTACAACACAGTCTGTCTGAAAATAGTGATGTGTTGCAATCATCTGTATATTTAAATCCTGAGCAGCATGTTTCACAGTTTCATAACAGTTGAGGTTGTTTTTGAGGCCTAGACAACCTTGCTCTTTGATTCAAGATCTTTATTTGCCATGTATGCATAAACAGACAGTCTAGGCATATAGGAATTCTTGTACAGGGCTCTCCAGGAGTCAAGTAAAGAGTTTAAAGCCAGAAGAACAAACAACTAATGTAAATATAAGAACACCCAAGAATAAAAAATACAAAAAACAAGAATACTCAAGAGTACAAAATAGTTGATAAAACTGTGAACAAAAGAACCAACACCTAGTCTAAATATATGATTACCAAAAGCTGAAAAGTTACACACCAGCTACACACCTGGTGCTGTGTGTATGGGTGTAATTGTGAGCACGTCTCCTGTTACCTATGGTCACATGGTGCAGAGCTGGCCTATTTTAAGGAGCCAGGGAGAGGAAGGGCGATGTATTGCATTACATTACTACTGATAAATGTCTTTTACAGATTGTGATTTGATGGTTCTGCAACAGCCACACTGTGAAAAACCTTTGTGTATGACCTTGTGCTTTATTTTGCGGAACTGAGAGAGAGAGACACAGTAGACAGGACAGGAAGATGGAGGAAGGAAGTGTTACACTTGTGAACTTTTTCCATTTGTGTTGAATGCAAAATCTGCATTTGGTGATGGTGTGACATCATCAGTGAGCGACCTTAAAGGGACCCTGCTCTATATGTGAATCAAAAAGCACATGTTGAAAAATGGCCTTGGAATTATGTCAAATTCAGACAAAAGGTGATGATGACATTACTAATGGTGTAGAAAACTAACAAAACAATATCAAATCCAATGACAAGTGTATACAGGACTGAATTAGTTTACAGAATGGGTCTGTGTTTATTTCCTGGCAACATTATTTTATGTCACCATGTAAACCACTCAGTCAAGAAGTACTGGAAACGGATGGGGTCTGCTTTCCTGGAAAAACTAATTTCGATACACACATATGCACACACACACACACACTGCTCAGAGGATGACTAAAACTTGTTCAGTCAGTTTTATACTAAGTGTGAGGACTGGTCAACTGAGAAGTTATGAAAGAACCACGTTCATGGTGCTCACCTCATGTTGCTCTTGTCCTCTTTCACCTTGAATGAAATGAAGTTACAATTGTTCACTTTAGGAACAGTTGTCTCATTTGCACTTACATCATTTTTGTCCTTATTCCTTTTTGTTTAAACACATTCATTTTACAGGAGACAGGCTTTTAAAAACTGAGAATATGAACACTGGACAGAGGTAAATATGGGGACAAAGGGGAAAGAACATATTCCTGGGGTTATCCTGAGATAAGAGTCGTGTCAAAGGATTAACAGTCAACATTCTGCTGCAAAACGATGAAAGGCCATATATCTGTGTTATGAAATAACTGAATAATTTATCTTAGCCAAGGCCTCTTTGCTCATTTTCCTTTCTACTCTGCTTAGCTCCAGTGAAAGAAATAAAACCCTAAGGATCATTTTATAGAAAACAAAACAAACTCAGTGACCCCTGAAATAACTTCACTCATTCATGTCAAGCTCAACCTTCTCATCACATTGCTCATGTGTCCTTTTCTCCTAGCCTCTGACTTCCTCATCATCGCCACACCTCTCTCATCTTACATCATGGTACCAATCCCACTCCCATGTGTCATGTCTCCTTACTCATTTTACCACAAACCCCTGTGCAGTTTGTCACGTCTGAGCCTGGCTGAAGCAAAACCTTACTAGTGATGATGAAAAAAGTAGTAGTCTGTCTGTCCCACCATGATGAATATTTTACTCACTTCCTTAGAGAGACACACCATATAAAGACTTCTTAACTTGTGTTGTACTGAGAAACCCTTGTTTTACTGGAAGGTTTGATGACGGCAGTGTGAAAAGCTCAACCTCCTCTACAGCACATGCGCTCCTTTCTCCTCAACCTCTGAAGTTCTTCACATCAGTCTCTCCCACTCAAACATGGCCAAACAATACCAACAATGGAGACGGAAGGAACAGGGCACTCACCTTTTTAACCTGGTCATCCTTGAGTTCAGTTAAGAAGTAGGCTAGTAGCTGGGCTGCAATCATCCTGGTCCTCTTTCTTTATCACACACACATGCAGAATCACTTTCTTCTCTGTCACACACACACGCTATCGCCCACAGTGAGATAGAGAAAAAAATCCAAAATATAAAGATATAAAAAGATCCCAAAACTCTACTCTGACTCTCCTTCGTACATAGAATCTGTCACACACCACAAGGAATTTAAAAATATCCTGAGTCCAGTCTGGAGTGGCTTTAAAACAGACAAAGCTGCTTCACGTGCAGTTTAGACTTTACAATTCTTCCTCCTCAGGAAACATGAGTGATACAGCAAATTCAGCTGCATGAGGCAGAGAGAGAGAGAGAGGCAGGGAGGGGCCAGAACACGAGTCCTGCCCACTGATTAGACAGTGTGAGTGCCTTGGGAGGGGGTTGAGTGCCACATCCTCTTTTGTGTAATTGGCTGGTCTGCTGAGACCTTAGAGGCAAACTGATGGAGGAATAAAAAAAGAGGAACTGTCTGAATGGGGGGAGGAGAGGCAGCGAAGTGGAGGGGGAGGGGACATATCAAAGAAGAGGAGAGTGAGGTGAGGAGGGAATTTGGGTTTTACTCTTCCATGAAAGTTGTACAATGCAGGCCGTAAAAATGAATCACACAGTTGTGACATTACCCCAAACACTTGAACTCGTACATTATTTGTCAGGAGTCTCAAGAGGCTGTGGGGGTAAATCCACAGTCATTGGTTTCTCTGGGCTCTGGGGAACTTTGATGGATATGTTAGGTATTTTTAGTCAGATAGAAATTAGATAGATACTTTATGTATTAGAAATGTTTAGTGGAGATAGGATGTCTAGTTAGACTGTTAAATGCTTAGGCATGCTCATGAGTTTCTACAGGGTACATCTGGTCAAGGATAACTAGAGAGAAGAGTTGATGACTGTCAGCAGACAGGGTGGTTAATATTATTATTATGACGTGTATAACTGTAGCCTTAGCCATAATATGTTCTTATGTTTAATATCACAACATGTTACTATAGGTTGTGTGAGAATGTTTTTAATTACACACCACTTAATCAACAGACACACACACACACACACACATTGATTTACTTCATGTTTTGACTACTGCTGGCCATAGCAGTAAGAGAGACGTCTCGGTTGACGTTTCTGTGTAGTATGGGGCTAGCCCAACCGAGGGGATATAATGTATAGGCCTGATTTGGTTCGGGGTCTTTCATCTTCCATCTGCTGCGTGCAGTTTGGACATATCCTGAGCGTGTAATGTTAATTTTTGCCTGTGTTCATGGAATAAATCAGCACTGTTTTGTAGTTACTTGGACTGCCTCGTCTCTCAGAGTCAGTATGGTAAAAAGTACCGGGTACAACAAATAGAAGGGAATGTTTTATGCATTGCTTTGGTAAAGCTCAGGAACATGACAGCAGGGAGGCCAGGGAGTAGTAGAGGCAGAGTGAGACAGGGTTTGGGTGGAGAGTGCTTTACAAGCAGGCGGGGGACTGTCAACAGAGGGGACTTATATGGTGACATCCTTGTATCTGAATGTCAGGGAGCAGTTATCCTAAGTCTTTGCACCATGTTTTTATTGTCTACACTTGAAGATTTCCTGTCTGCTGTCTGTGTGGAGGTGCGAGAGGAGTCTTCTGCAGGTCTATACTTAGTGAAGCCAGCGTTCTGTAGTGGCCACATGGCTCACAAGAAATCTCAAGTTCAGGGATTCCCCCAGAAAAATTTTGAGCCGTGCTGGTAAACCATCCAGATCCTGATGTATTGATTTGTGATCAGGTCAGTTGGTACATGACAGCTTAAACAATTGCCACAGTCATCATTAAACATATGACATTTGAACAGTGGCCTTGCTAAAGTTGTGGGGTGGCAGGTATATATGACAATAAATTGAAAATGTTTGTGTTTTGGAGTGTTTGTCAGTTAGAACAAGAAGTGTGAATAAGCCATCTTAAGATAGAATACATTATAAATGGCATTTCTCACTTTTTACTGACATGATACTGAAAAACAGTCAAGCTGATATGTGTTGTTGAAGGTTTATATTGTGATTGTGGAGTTTCATGTCAAACATCATCCTAAAGTAAAACAGTTTAAAATAACCATGTTTTCATGTATATGCTTTTCAGTATTCTCGTGTGTTGCAGAATAAAAGGCCACTGACTTTTATCTCCTCCCATGTGCTCATTGAAATTTGATGACCCCCTCACTGCATGTGCGACTGCTTGTTTTGTGTGGATCTGCAACTCAAAGCTTAGATGTTTGTATTACAGGTACGTATTATCCATTTGCCTTTCTACCTTCGTGCTGAGCAAACGGAAAAGCATACATCTACAGCTCCTTCCACTCCACCTACTTTTAAGTAGAAAGAAAGCCGCCGACTCTCTTGCTCACTCGCTCATCCATCCTGAGTCAGCCCATCAGACATCGGCGTTCTGTCTCCACTGTCCTTTCAGACAGATGTGGCAACATCATCAATACAACAATAACAACAACAGCTGCCTGCTGTTTGGACTCTAGACAGCAGCCACTGACACCGAGGAAAC